AGATCGATACATTTAAGCTTCTCTGCTTGGGGGACCCTTTGATTTGCTGTACCTTTATTCCTCTAAAGGTCAAGATGCTGAGCTCTGCTTCTGGGTTCTACCATTTGCTGAGTTTTGCTTCTATGCCTGAATCCAAACCCAGCACAGGTTTAGATGGGCTTTCGGATTTTAATTGAAATAACGTTTAGACCTCCTGGTAGGTTCACTTATTACCTATGAGATCTATATCCTCTAAACAGAGCATTAGGTGCTGCTGACCTGGATTTAAAAGAAAAGACAATTAAGCAAACTCTAATCACAACACAATGCTCACAAAGTTTAAACAAAGAGAAGAATGTCTGATGAAACAATAAAATCTTCAAATGACACGGGAATTATTACTGATTCCAAGTTTTGGGAACCATAAGAAAACTCTGTTTCTTGTACATTTTAGGTAATCTGTGGGTTTTAAAATTCATTCTCTTGTATCTGGCTACCCTTGACTTTGTAGCATCCTGCCATTTTGAGGCAAGAAATATAAAAATCTGCAAAAACTATTTTTTACATTTTTAAATAGGTTTCATACACTTGGAAAGCCACATTTTACACTTGAAGCAAAATGAAGAATGCTAGCCCCTTCCAGTGGGTCCCCTGGGTCTGCCAAATTGCTCTCCTCAGAAGGGTGCATCCCTACCACCACCTATAAAAGTCACTTGCTAATTTAAACATAAATTATCTTGCAAGCAAGATCCATCTTACAAGGAGCCAGCTGGTACAGAATTTAGCTTGAGCTGCCACCCCTGAAAACTGGTCTGGGAACAGACAGGCTGTTGCTGTAGAATTCAACATGCTAACTCATGAACTTAACCCCAAGTTACTCAATTTTCCCCAAGGTTTTCACAATATACTCAACCATAAAAAGGTGGGCAGCTTTGCACAATTCACTCTGCTCAAATTTAGCTGGATAATTTATGGTTCAGTAAGTATGTGAACATAGGACAATTCTGCATTGCAGTTAAAGCTGCTTGTCTCCCAGGTTTCTACTGCTTCTAAAAGTGACTGAAAATTGTAGTCCAAATTGCAATGGGTTGGCAACAGAACTGGGTGGGTACTAAATCTGACCACCACAAGTCTTAATCCTTGCTTGAGTTTTCCTTCTCCCAATCTTTTCCTTTACTTTACCAGATGTTTCACATGTGGATGCGTGTAGCCCCTTCCCAATTATCTCCTGCTTTGACCCTTCCTTTCCTCCCTCCCCCAATGATGCCATCAAAGCTCCAATCCTACAATAATCAACGCAAAAGGAACAATTGTTTTTATGTTCCTCTCTTCCTTTGTAGAAACAAAGTGGCAGTATACTTATTTTGCAACCTAAAGATACTTTTTTAAAAAAATAAGGAAAGGAAGTTTTGCAAGATGGGGGTTGGAAAAGCAAAGGTTTGTTTTACCCAGCCTGGGTAGAAATTGAAAAGAGGCCCACTGAGAAAAGTAAGGAGTTGAGTTTTTAGGTTTAAGGATAGTCCACTGACTTAACAGGCTAGAATTGGATCTCCTGCTAAGCATCAGAGAACATAAATCTGATAATTCAGGGTGAAATGGCTACCCAGAACAGTGGCCAACCACTGCAGGAGAACAGACATGCCAGGCATTGCAGCCACTGGGAGCTGGGGGTGGGGTGGGGGTGCTATTAAATAGAACAAAGTACTGGAAAAGAGTTTATGGTAGCTCAGATTTGGAAACAACAATTCTGCATTGAAACTCAAACGTATAGTAAAGATGTGGGGTGCACCGAGATTGAGATAAGGACAATTTCCCCTGTTTCTGTACTCAGGAAGCAGTGAATGACCCATAAAGGTGACAGTTGTCAGCCTTGCAGGATTGTTCAAACAAGATGCACACCCAGAAGTACTACCATAGCTCTAACTTTATTGTAAGGTTACACTCACTGAAATTTGCAAGTCTGAAAATACATCTCTCCCTCCCCCACCTTTACAGTCCAAGATTCTATAGAGGGTCCCCTCTGAAATGTTTGCCATGCCCACATTCCTTTTGCAGGCTAAGCTGCCACTTATTGGACTGTTGACCAGGCTCTAGCTCTATCCCCTGTATCTCAAGGTTATTTCCACATGCCATTATAATAGTCACTGGAGAAGGACTCCCAAAAAGGGCAGGCACTTCCATCTTTGCTTCTAGATGTTGCACAGATGACCTGCTTTGCATGTGGCTCATTTGCTTTTCATCTTAAGGCTTCACCCAATGAGGTTTAATGCAAGTGAATTATGAATCTACATTCTGAATTTATTCTGGACTTCATTTCTTCATTTCATTTCCCACCTTCATATTCAGATTTCTTCCCACTTTTACATCACACTTCTTATTTAAGGCTAGAACACTTACATCAACTGAAGTCATTGAAAAACAGATCAGCTTCCAAATTCTGTTGTGCAGAATGATGAAAGTAATTTAAAAACAAGGCTATTTTCACTGTATTTTAACTACAGTGACTCCTTTGATATCCTACTTGTTTTACTTGACTGGTGGGATGAGTGGCTAGAATATCCATCTTTAAGTTATATGAATAGTGGAAATTATTAAAATATCTGTATGGCAGCACATTTGATGGTGACATCAGTCTCAATAAGAAAAACGCTTTGAGGTTCAGAAACACATTCACATTTTTTTCAGTAGTTGGTGCTAAATTTTGAACATTTGAACATTGTGCTGGCTTCTTGCTTAATAAGGGTATATATATCTTTACTTTCTAATATATTTCATGTATGTATATGAAATGTATATGTGTATGTATGTATATCAGTAGTGGGATTCAAATTTTTTTACTACTGGTTCTGTGGGTGTGGCTTGGTGGGCATGGCTTGGTGGGCATGGCAGGGGAAGGATACTGCAAAATCCCCATTCCCTCCCACTCTAGGGGAAGGATATTGCAAAATCTCCATTCCCACCCCACCCCACTAACCTGCTTTCCAGCTCTGTTCTCCTGTGCAGGGCAACAAAAGAAGACCCAGCAGATCAGCTGGGACTTGGGAGGCAGAGAATAGATGGGGGCAGGGCCAGCCAGAGGTAGTATTTGCCGGTTCTCCGAACTACTCAAAATTTCTGCTACCGGTTGTCCAGAACTGGTCAGAACCTGCTGAATACCACCTCTGATGTATATCTGTATCTATATATGTTTACCTTTTGCATGTAGATATACCAGTATATATTGTGGGGTTCAATTTGAGAACCTGCCACAAAAGTCAAGACTCTTTGATTTTTTGCAACCAGTTCTCATTTAGTCACAAATGGCACCTGTGGGAACAGGAGCCAGATATCATGAAGGAATATCTGTCTTTTATGTGCTTGTGGAAATCATCACTCTGCCCCCAAAGAAATGGCTTCTAGCTCTTTACATTCAGAAGGTGGAAAGAGGTACAAGAATGTGAAATTGGGTTTCTTTATCAATAGGACTTACCTTTAATAACCTGCAGTCCCTGGAATTGTTTTGTAATGGCTTCATTAATTTTTCTACAAGAAACCTCTTTATCAGAAATCCTTGCATTCTTGAATGCCTCTCTGTCTGTTTGCAGACTAGCTTTCCAAAGACGTTTGATTGTCTAATGAAGCGGGAGATGTCTGCATATTATAGTGATGCAAATACTTTTTTTCTGAGAATTCTAAGCATGAATTCTTGCTATAGTCCAAATGTCATCTAGTTTTAGGAGCACAATGTTTAGCTATTTTGTTTTGTTTTTGCTTTTGCTTTGCTTCCTGTTGCTATTTCTAGACTGCTTGGTTAAATCAAGCAACCTCAGCTAATAAAGGATAGATAAAGATAACCTCAGCTAATAAAGAGTAGATAAAGGATCAACTCTTCCACAGAATTGGCTAGTGTGGCTGATTTTGCTATCCAATATAGTGTTTGCCATGTGATGCCCCATCTGGTGTATCATGTCCAGTGGTGGGTTGCCCCTGGTTCGCACCGGTTCTATAGAACTGGTAGTAAAACTGGCGGAAGGCTCCGCCCACTGACCCCAACGTCATCAGAACGCTTCTGCGCATGCGCAGAAGAGCGTGCGAGTGAGCGAGCAAAGTGAGCGAGCAAAGCAAGCATGCATGCACAGCCCCTTTGCAAACTGGTAGTAAAGGTAAGTAGAACCCACCCTGATCATGTCCCATATCTCATACCTATATGATGCTACTAGTACTACATTTGTGTCAGGAGTACCAAAGCACTTCTGGGTTGAAAGGATTGAAAAGTGACATGACCATTGTCCAGGGGATGCCCAATTAGGGGGCCCTTTCATGTCCCAAATAAATTGCCCATCAAAGTGGTACCCGTCTATCTACTTGCGGTCTCCCGCCTTCAAACTGCTGGGTCGGCAGGAGCTGGAGCCTGTGACAGAAGCTCACTGCATCCTGCAGCAGCAACCGGATCTTGAAACACAGGAAAAGTCTTTCTTTGCAATTGTATTGCATCAGTAGATACAAAGAGGCTGTTGGAAATATCAACAGGGAAACAACAAACCCAGAAAGGATCCTTGAGATAAAGTATAAGATAAGCGGTATGATAGAATAATGTACAACTATTCTTAAAAAGGATCAATTAGTTTGTTTTACTAATTTGCTGTCATTTTTAATTATTATTCTTTAATTATTACTTCTCCCAAGAAGAAGAAAACATATATGTCATGTAAATGCACAATGGGAGTAAGGCTTTATGTCAGGTGCAAGCATAATGGGAAATTAGAATTTGTGCCATCCAATTAATAGTCCATTTTGAAGCATCCCATCAGGCAAGGGGACATTGGTCCATCCCTAAAGAGCTAGAATGGTAGCTTTTCTTTTGATCCTTGAGAACAAAGAATCCACAATTTAAATTATTCATTTCATATATACAATCATTATTTGCATTTGTTTCATCTGAACCCTTTTTTTAAAGCTTTCCCCCCCCCAAAAAAAAGTTGTTGGCAATGCCAAAGGAAAGTTATAAATGACTGCACACATATCTTGAATGGCAAAGTAAATTATTTTTAAAATGTTTAATAAGAACAGGGGGCACAACTCTAACCACGGTTATTTTCGAGTTTTGTTTTCCCCTTAAATCTAGAGGAAAAAACTGACCCATACATGTCCATATACTGATATGTTAACAGTTTGATTTTGAAGGGCTACATGCTTTTTTCCCCAGCAAAGTAAAACAATAGATTTGATCCATGATAGTACAATACATACCATTGTTGAGCATATTAATTTTTGTGGGATTCACAAGATTGTGTCTAAGATTGGCCCCACATCTCTGTGTCTTCAGAATACCTTTAGACTTAGGGAAGTCATCATCTGATGAATTGATACATATGTAGGTAGGTAGGTAGGTAGGTGGATAGATGATAGATAGATAGATAGATAGATAGATAGATAGATAGATAGATAATAGATTAGAAAGAGAGACAAATGGGCAACAAATAGGTAGGTAGGTAGGTGGGTGGGTGGATGGATGGATGGATGGATGGATGGACTATAGGTATGTAGGTGGACAAACTAACAGATTAGAGATAGATAGATAGATAGATAGATAGATAGATAGATAGATAGATAGATAGATAGATAGATAGATGATTAACTTCCAGTTCTGCTATTTTGCTATTTTGCTCTGACACTATGGGGCAGAAAGTTTTCCTTATCTTCCCTTCTTCCTAAAGTGCAATAGGGCTTTGCCATTTCTTCCCACCCAACCATCCCAATTTACAGAGACAGTGGGTTTTTTCAGCCTCCATGTGAAATGTCTCCCAGTTAAGACATTCAAAGGGAAGTACGCAGGTTGGTGCACTGATTTTTCATCTCCCACTTCGGCCAACTTGTCATTCTCTTGCTTCCTTATCTTCTCCAGTCCCAGAGAACACCAATAAAGAGACCTGTGCAGTGGTTCAAATTCTCTTCAGAAGTATGATCCTGATGGCAGGGTGCCTTGGGATAACTGCTGGTTACCTAAATGTGGGATACAGTGGCATAATGCCTTGCCTTGCCTCCCCTTGTCTAGAATAATTACAGCTATATCTTTAACTGAACCGGGTGTGGTGATTTCTGCCATCAGGTCTTCCTTAATAAATAATAGCTGTGGGTTTCCTTCTGGAGTGGAGAGGCATAGAGAGAACTGTTTGGGGTGGGTGGGTTAACTGGTGGGTAGTGGCAGTTTGAAGCGTGTCTTCAGGCCCAGAGTTTTGTCAATGACTTCCACAGGCTGCAGACTATGCCACTGTGCCATAGGCCTGCGAGGATTAGCCAGCATATCTGACCAGTGGCGCAACTGGTTCCCTGTAGCTCGGCAGCTGAGAAACAGCTTTCCAATCTGGTCATCCTTGGTCACTTTGTCACGATCCCAGACTGAGATCACCAGGTCTACATTCTAGAATGAAAATTACAAAGCAGAGAGAGGAGAGGAGGAAAAGGAAGGGAAAACAAGGGAGAAAGATGGTTTTACAATGCAAACAGAGAAACTCCGTTATCTCCTTACAAGGTGCTCTTTGCATGGGGAGCATTTGAGAGAGTTCATGCCTTTTTACCATTACAGCTTTAGTCACTTTCTGTCCCTCTTTTGTATTCACATACATTATTATTTCTCAAATGTCAGCCCAAATCCTGCTTAAAAGAGCTGCATAATAAAGATTTATGGGTAAGGACTTTAAACATTCCATGGCAAAATGACGCTTACAATGTTGCTGCAAGATGTCAAAAGAGCAGACTCCTCTAACCCAGGGGTGAAATGTTCCCAGTTCAGACTGGAACGCCGAATCTGGTAGCGATGACGGCAGGTGGTTCGGAGAACCAGTAGCAAAAATCCCTGCCTACTCCCCACGCCCAGCTGAGCAGCGCAATCATCAGAGGCTTTTTTTTTTTACTTTTAAAAGCATTTTTTCTTCCGCCGAAAAAATGCTTTTAACAGGAAAAAAAAAGCCTCTGATGATGTGTGGCTCGGCTGGGATCGTCAGAGCCTTTTAAAAGTATTTTTTTTACAACCTCTTCGGCCGAAGCGGTTGTAGAAAAAATGTTTTTAAAAGTAAAAAAAAAAAAGTTGGCCACACCCACTCAGTCACATTACCCCCCCACCAAGCCATGCCCACAGAACTGGTAGTAACAAATTTTACATTTCACCACTGGTTCACACGTATAATTTGGCCCATGTTACTGAACATTTCCCCTTTTAATTCAAAGGCATATTGTTCAAAACTAGTTAATGTAACTATTTTTAAAGTATATAGATCCATTCTGAAATATTTCTGAATTTAAGCTTTAAATTTTTATATAAAATCAATATATCGACATGCCCAGAACTCAAAAACTACCCAGGAATACATCATCCAGCTCACAATCAATTTGTAACACTTGGCAAATTTATGATAACAATGAACATTACTTCCCCCAAGCCACGCCCACAGAACCAGTAGTAAAAATTTTACATTTCACCACTGCTCTAACCCTGTTTGACACCATTATGGTAGGCATTAAATATGGTGTTGATTTTTTTAAAAAAATCTTAGTTATTATGCTTATTTAGTTTAGGCCCAGAAAAATAATAGCTAGGAAATAAGTCACAATAAGAAGCAAAACAGACTTCAGTCCAAGTATTCCTCATTTAATAATCATAATTGGGATCAGGCTTTCCATTGCTAACTCATGTGGTCATTAAGCAAGAAATCATATGACTGCAACTGAGATATGACCTCACTTCCATCATGGCTGCTAAGCAAAGCACCCATAATAGATGAGCGAGACATCACATGATCATGACTTGCAATTTTACTGCTGGCTCTCCATTGATGGAAGCCAGCTGTGAATCAGGCAAATGATGATCACATGACTGTGGGGAAACTGCAATGGTTATAAATGCAAGGACTAAAGTCATAAAGTTACTTTTCCAGTACCATTGTAACTTCAAACAATTGTAAACAGGGCAGTCGTTAAACAAGGATTATCTGTATAAGAAGATACATTTTTACAGCAGGCCTTAGTAAGATGAGCTCAAAACATCTGCAAAAGCAATGATGCTTCTAGAGCAGGGGCCCCCAACCTTTCGGACCTCAGGGACCACTAAATTCATAATTTTAAATCCCATGGACCACTAATATGATCTGCCTAATGACCGGCTGGGTGGGTGTGGCTAGGGGGTTATGTGACTGGGTTGGCATGGCCAACTCGATGGCCAACTTGTGTCACTCACATCAAGGGGCACCTCACCAGCCTCTACTCACCCCTCCCCTGCCAGCCACTCTTCACCTCTCCACCCAGGCTTCTTAGGGCCCCAACAGGAAGCAGTTGTTGAAGCTAAGCAGCCACCATGAGAAAGAGTTGGCAAAACAGCTGGCTCAGTTCAAATTGAATCTGACCGAGAAGGAGGCTCAGCAGAAGCACCTCACTGAGGACTATGAGCATAGGCTTCCAAGCAGAGGGAAGACCTGTGGGAGTGCAAGGCCAGGTACCGGTGCCTGGAGGCTCAGAGGGCTGAGATGGTCAGCCACTTCCAGGCCATGATGCAGTCCCACTGGAACAAGGCCCTTTGGTTCTTCGCCACCAGCGGTGCTTTCCTCCAGCCTTCGCCCAAAGCCCTGCACCAGGAGACTGAAGCTGACCCCAAGTTGGAATTTCTGCCCCCCTCTGACCCACACAAGAAGACCCCAAAGGGGGAGACTCTCTGCAGCAATACAAACGTTCATTGCCCGTATCTGGCCCAGGGGCCATAATTTGAGGATCCCTGATTTTAGTGCAATATAAAAAAATGCAAATAATTTTTCTGCGGACCACCAAAATTCTCTCTCAGACCACTTGTGGTCCACAGACCACCAGTTGGTGACCGCTGTTCTAGAGATTATTTCGTTCTCCAGTAACCTGGTTCTGCTATGAAATGGCTTCTACTGGGCCTACCTGGATCAAGTTGAAAGGCACTTCAAAAACAAAAGCTTCATTGAAATAGGGGCTCAATGTGTTTTTCTTCACCGTTGTCTTCTTTTTCTTCCATTTCTTTTTGTTCAGAATAAGTTGCACTTTGACATATGGGTCTGGCGTGGAAAGTAAAGCAAAGAACAGTTGAGGCAATTTAATCTGAAAAGAATTTTCCCCAGACATTAAAGTGTTCCTCAACACCATATTGCAGCCTTTTAGATCTCCATGAAAAACTCCTAACTCAAATATTAGCTGCTTTATTATAAAGCTTGGTGGTTCTGCCAGCAGCCTTGTAGGTTGACTAGGTATTTGGCTTGGAGGAAAAAACAACAAAACAACTGATCTTCCTGTAAAGGTCACCATGAGACTTTAATGCTGTTGTGAGTTTTTGGGAGAAAAATGTAATTCATCCCCACCAGCTTTCACAACCAAAACAAATCATATTATTCAAATGTTATATGGTTCCCCTTTCTTAAACAAAAGAAACAATAGCAATAGCAGTTAGACTCAATTACTGCTTCACAGTGCTTTGCGGCCCTCTCTAGGCAGCTTACAGAGTCAGTATATTGCCCCCAACAATCATTTTACTGACCTCGGAAGGATGGAAGGCTGAGTCAACCTTGAATTGAATTGAACTGCTGACAGTTGGCAGATTTAGCCTGCAATACTGCATTCTAACCACTCCATCACTATGGCTCTTACAAAAATAACAGTAATCTCCTTTGGTTCCGGTGTTCAGGAGGAATCCGTTAGCCCTTCTTTTCTAACGTAACAAATTTTATGAAAAGGCATCAGCTTTTCTAACCTGCAGCTCATTTCATCAGGTACGTAGATCCACTTATGCCTCTGATGAAATGAACTACAGCTCATAAAAGCTCTTATGTTTTAATTAAATGTGTTAGCCAGAAAATCAGATTCCTTCTGATTTTTGGTTACCCTAGACTAATACAGTTCTCCTAGCTCTCTTCTAAAGCACTGTGATAGCAATAACAGCAGCTATGACAAACTCACCCAGCTTTCATGATGCAAGAGAGGATTGTAGCTCTTACAACAGAGATCCATGCCATGTTGTATCTTCCCTGCTGCCAAGATCAGCAGTAATTCAAATCAAGAGAGCTAATATGGGCCTTCACATGTGTCAAACTGGCAGCCCGCTGGCCAGATACGTCACACGCAGGCCATGCCCACCCCAGCTCCACCAATGGGAAAAATGTCACGAAACATTACATGATGGCAATGTGACACAGCAAGTTTGACACCCGTGCTTTAGACAAGAGATTCAAAATATAATAGGACTCTGGGATCCATTTCAGCAACATGCATTAACAGGCTCTAAATCAGCATGACGTTCCTCTGCTCTCCACAATGAGTCTTAGGAATCTGTCCTTCATACCTGATAATCCATCTGCATCCATAACCTTGAGCTTTTTGGCTTCCAAGATAACTACCGTTAATTTGCTGGTACTGGGGACATATCGCAGTGAGAAGCAGATTTCTCCAAGGTGCTCTTGCTGTGAGAAACCAAAAAAAAAAAAAAAAACCACAGGAGAAGCCAGACTGATATACTGAGAAAAGATAAAGGGATGAAGCCAATAGTCCTTCTAACATAGCGCTAAAATAGGAACACTCTGAGGAATACTTTGAAACAATTATTGTTGCTCCAGAAATCATTTTTCTAAGCCCAGAAAAATGGAGAACTATGCCATTGACACCACAGAGGTGAAAGTATTCTTAATATGCACCAACTTAATATGCACCAAACTATTTTCTGCTGTAACAACCCTAATTCTTTTTTTAAAAAACCATTGGTTTTTGTTTAAACTTAGGCAAATTCAACTTCAGCCAAGCAATGTATGATGGATGATGCCAATGATCCAGTCTTTAATAAAGATGTTGACATTGTTTATTTGCATCCATGAGCCATTGGACACCTAGAACTAATGGCCAGAAATAGGAAGTGGAGTGTCTTCAACATGCTGCCCCGTGTGTCTCGCTCATGTATCTTGTTGATACTGAAACAAGTCTCTGTGCTTAAGAGACAAAAGGAATGTTCTCCTCCTCCTCCTCCTCTTGGGTTTCCCTCTCTGTAGCAGTAGTGGGTTTCAATTTAGTTTGCTACCAGTTCGCTCGTGCGAACTTGCAAGCTTCCGCAATGCTTCTGCACATGCGCAGAAGCTTCTACCCATGCACAGACGCATCCGGGTGGGTGGGCAGAGCCTCCCGCTGCTGCTACCGGTTCGTCCGATCTGAGGCGAACCGGTAGCAACCCACCACTGCTTTGTAGCAGTGGTGGGGTTGCCCACGGTTCGGACCGGTTCGCAAGAACCGATAGTAAACTGGCGCAAGGCTCCTCCCACTGACCCGGATGTCATCATAAGTGATCTGCGCATGCGCAGAAGAGCATGCGTGTAGCCACGATGCAAACCGGTAGTAAAGGTAAGTAGAACCCACCCCTGCTCTATAGGTAGAAAAGGTGAGGCTTTTCTGTAGTTCTTAACAAATCTAGGTTTCAATAAAGGAGAATATTTGTAGCTCAGGGTTGAAATGAGGGGTCCTTGGTGCTCTCTGAGCTTGCTTATTTTCTTGCAAATGTTTCATTACCCTAATTAGGTAATATCATCAGTTCAGAGAGCACCAAGGACCCCTCAAATCTAGGTTTTAAATCAAATGTAGTGAACGTCTGCTTGCATTCATCCTCTGAATCCACAACAATTATATTATTATTATTTTGTTTTGGCTAGGAGCAGTGTTTTAAATGGGATGTCCTTCTGCTTAAATCACTTATATTGTTTCAGTGCTCTGCTTAAGTTCATAGGCAAATCCTTTCAAGCAGCCTTCTGCTGATTTCAAATGTCAGCACAGGGTTCCACCTTAAAGTGAAGCAATAGTAGCAGGGAAGAGGTGGTTTAAGCCTATCCTTGAACCATTTCTCCCATTCACATCCCTCAGTCCCATCCTTGTATGGATGCTATTAGTATCACTGGCAACTGGCATTTTCCAAACTGGCAACTTTATAAAATGAGATGGGAAAGTAGTTTTATTTCCCTGAAACACCATACACACGGGAAAAGAGTGATCTGATCAAAAACCTCCAACATTACACTGTATTAATTGAAAACATTGCTCCTTGGAGGGGAACCTAGATATAATTTGAAAAATATTGTTTCTATTCCAATGGTCTGTCCAAATATCTGTTTAAAAAAAGGATTTCCCATTTTTTTTATCCTTCAAAGTGAATGTGTTAGGTTCACATACTGCACTGATCTAGGAGTTTGTTTTAATCATTAATTGTTGAATAAGACATAAAGGGCTGCTTTCTTATATGCTATTAAAGCATAAACCATATTGACCAACTACAATGGCTATTTTTACACTGCATGAGAAATAATCAATGAAATTACATCATATAGCTTGATATATAAAACCATTATTATGAATCAGGGGCAGGTTCCAAATCCTATTGCTACCGGTTTTCTCATGTGCGCACTGGTGCTTGCACACGTGGCACTTCTGCGCATGCACAGAAGCGTCCAGGCGGGTGGGTGGAGCCTCCTGCCACTGCCGCTACTGGTTCGCCCAATCCGGTGTGAATCAGTAGCAACCCACCACTGTTATGAATCCAATCAATTGCATGTCAATTCATTGAATAGGAATGTGTGTGTGTGTGTGTGTGTGTAGACACACACATAAACATACCCCATACAAAGTTCTCAATTTGTAATATCACAAGCTTCAACCATTCATCACCATGAGCAACTGCCTGTGTTGCACATCAATAAATTGCCCAGAGTATGGATAATAAAACCCATGCTCTGGGCAATTGATCCCAAAGTGAATATGGTTTTCTTAAACAAAACGTAACATTACTACTCAATGGCCTCAACATACAAACTTCATTAACCATTCATATTCAGCCTGAGATATTATCAGTTCCCTGGTAATATAACTGCTAATAGTGCCCTCTAGGGGATATTCCATCTCTACATCAGTAATAAAACTATTAGAATTGTCTCACAGATGTCAAGGTGCTATCAAGTTAGCATGCTCATAACCAAGCATACTTATTTTTATTTATTTATTTCTGAGATTTGTATCCTTCCATAATCCCACTGATGATCAACAATAGCAACCCAATTCTTTTAATGAGCTGAGGGAATGAAATGTGCTTCTTTCTATCTTGGAAAATTGATGTTCACCATCTTTTGATTAAAATGGATTTCAAGAGGAAGAAAAACAATCTGTCTCCAAAGATATAATAACATCTGCTATCAACATATGCTGAATTCAAATGAGATGTCTTCAAACAGCCTATGTTGATGATCAAGAGAGACCAAACTTGATTTGATATATACTACAATAGACAAAGAATCCATTATTTATTGAACCCTTTCTAAATGTTTCGTTTTCCACTAATTTAGATGTGACTGTTTATAATCCCTTATTATAAAGGGAGTGGACATTAATGTAGTTTGGGCCTCGTCTCCATGGTGTTGCCCTTATCTTCTCCCTCACTAATGGTGGAGATAGGCATCAGCTATCATTAATTACATTGGTATAATAGTAAAAATTTTCCCTTTAATCCAATAGCATTCAAGAACAGCTTTGATACATGTAAAATGTTTCATCTTGAAAGATAAATCAGGAAGCTAGAGGTACCTAGAAACGGTGCGCTTTGGGAGTGTTGGAAGCATCAACATCTCATAATCATCTCTATGCTTATGAATGACCTCCACCTCAGTCATTTCTCCCTCAGCTTTTGTAAATGCCTTCTTTATTTCCTGACTTCCTTTTATATCTATTCAGGCTTTGAACAATGTAGAGGAAAAAGAGAACACTATTTCACTGAGAAAAGAGTGGAAGTGTGAGTTTATGCTCATTTGCTATCTTTCCTGTATTGGTTGGTCTCAGGCCTTCTTCCTTCCAAAATCAAGTAGACAGTTTCAGTTCTCCCACCTTATAGAATCTAAACTTTCAAATCTCTCAAATCCTGAGTCTCTATATTACATTATTTAAATATAATAATAGGGTAACTTTAAGAGATTGCTTAAGACTCCTGAGAGTTCCTTGGACTGCAAGGCAATCAAATTGGTCAGTCCTAGAGGAGATCAACCCTGACTGCTCTTGAGAAGGCCAGATCCTGAAGATGAAACTCAAATACTTTGGCCACCTAATGAGAAGGAAGGACTCACTAGAGAAGAGCCTAATGCTGGGAAAGACTGAGGGCAAAAGAAGAACGGGATGACAGAGAACGAGGTGGCTGGATGGAGTCACTGAAGCAGTAGGCGTGAGCTTAAATGGACTCCAGAGGATGGTAGAGGTGAGGAAGGCCTGGAGGAACATTGTCCGTGGGGTCACGATGGGTCGGACATGACTTTGCAACTAACAACAAAAAGAGATTGCTATCCAACCATTATCACAGGAGTCTATGGATATCTTGGAAGGTATCTTTGAAACTGCAAGACATATTGGAGATAAAATGTGAAAGTTGCAGTGGACAGCTTTTCTGTCCAATGGTATAACTATAAATGTTTTGTAGATTTGTTGAGCCATTATTGTCAGAGGTCTATAATGAATTACTTAAATCCAGTAAATTGTCTTTGTCTTTTTATGTCTTCTACACCACTAATTTTAAAAGCAGGTAAAGATTTTGAATTTTGTACAATTTATAAATTGATACGGTAGATGCAAGAATATTTATTGCTTTTTGTCTAGATGATTTCAGAGAATCTCACCATGAATAATTCATCCAACTCGGTCTGGATTTTTCAAAACCAGACAGTATCAGATAATTTACACTCATGATATAGCTCAAGATAAATTGGATTCTGATGTATTAATGTTTTTGGATGTTGAAAAAGCTTTAGATATGAGTAAACTTGGTAGTTTACTCATATCTTGGAGCCTTGGTAGTACAGTGGTTTAAAGCACCCTGTTATTAACCCAGCTGCCTGCAATTACTGCAGGTTCGAATCTTACCAGGCTCAAGGTTGACTCAGCCTTCCATCCTTTCTAAGGTAGGTTAAATGAGGACCCAGTTTGTGGGGGCAATAAGCTGACTTTGTATAAATATACAAAAGTATGAAGGCTATTGCTTAACGCATTGTAAGCCGCCCTGAGTCTCCCGAGAAGGGCGGCATATAAATCAATTTTTTTAAAAAAAATGTAATTTTTTTTTAAGTGAGAGGAACTTGTGTGTGTAGGTATGGATTCCCAACTTCTTTTATTAAATAGATTGAAATTTATTATTCAAACTAATAGCAAGTGAAGTAACATTTTTAATTTTTAGACTAGTTGAGTTATCAGATGAGTTATAATATGGCAGCTGTCATGATGCCCAATTGCTCTATTGGTTTATGACCTAATTCTTGAGCCATTAACAATTATTCTCAGGCAATCTTATAATATTACTGGTATTACACTGGCATATGCCATGCTATTTAGATTCAGAATTTAATTATTTTACATATTGCTGATATTTGGACAATATTGTATAAATATTCTAACTTATTGC